TTCGAGATAATGGCCAAAACAGAAAACCCTCCCCCATATACTCTCCCATAGAAAAAATAAAAAATTCAAAAATTGCGCTCAAATTTGGTGAAATCGATATAAAACCCTCTCCCATATACTCCCCCATAGAAAAAATTAAATATTTAAAAATTGCCCTCAAATTTGATAAAATGCTTGCATTGCATTAAAGCATAGTGTGTATGCGTTGATTACTCGCGCGTCGATTGTACACTTGTTGTATTTTTAATTAAATTATTATTTTAACAATATCTAGAATTGTTTATTAAGATAGATAATTTAGTTATACTTCCGAGAATCTAATAAAAATATCGAATTAACATGTAACATGTTGTTTTGAATTTAGTATGTTGGTGGTTTTATTGTTAAATTATCATTGAAATAATTTTGTGATCTAGATTCTATTAAACTGTATTAAAATTAATTAACACCTGGTACAAAAGTTATCGCTAACCAGTAAGTTATAAAAACAAAAATTAGACCTAAAGATTATTTTATGCAATTATTAATCATACATAGTATTGTAATTCAAACAAGGTTAATTGTCACCCATTTGTTTAAGTGTTTTTTAATTTTATAAAATTGTTTGTATTTTTTATTGATTTCGATTATAAGAATCTGAGAATGTCACTTGGGTAATAATAGCAATAATGCTATATTAAATGCTAGCTTGAGAAATAACCATTTTTACATAAATAGTCAATTAAATGACTACACTTAAACCAGCTTTTGTTGATATAGTTTGTCATAAAGTTAGTTTTGATTTAATTAAATTTCTAGTATGAGATTTCCAATTAATAACCATTATAAATTTCTTTACCATATGGATATATTTATATGGTAGACATTATTATACAGTTATATTATATAATTTTAAAATAATATTTACTATGTTCTTTATTATAACAAGTTATTATCAAACATTGCAAAATATTTTTGTTATTTTTAGCAATATTTTGTTAGTATTATTTATCACGTATTTAGTGATCAAATTATGGCATAATTTTAAACCTAAAATAATGTTGACATCAAAAGGTAAAGCAGTGCTAATAACTGGTAAGTAATCTAAATTTTATTTGGTATGGTAACTTAAATTTATATTCTAATTTAATAAGTTATATAAGTTGGAGTCAGAACTATAGACTTTTGACTTAAATAATTGTAAACTTCACAATATAAAGTACAGTGTGTACAAAAATGGACCTAACAAAAGTAAACTCGAATATTTCGAAAAATATTTGGTTTAGAAATTCAAATCATATATCAAATTAATTGTCAACTGCGGGAGTTTTTGTTATGATATGGACAATACAGTGTGTACAAAAATGGACCTAACAAAAGTAAACTCGAATATTTCGAAAAATATTTGGTTTAGAAATTCAAATCATATATCAAATTAATTGTCAACTGCGGGAGTTTTTGTTATGATATGGACAATATGGTTGACTTCTTATATTGAAGCCAATGTCGAAAAACATAAAATATTGACATTTTCTACATAGACATAATGTTAAATTCAAACTAGTTTTCAAGTGAAATCCTGAAATACGTGTCAACTTATTTTATGTTCACTTTAAAAATCTTCAAGCAAAATTATTCTTCTGTGGCTAGTTTATGTAAAATGATGAATTTGTTGTAAAATTGCAATATTTTGTGGAAATAACAACTGAAGAATCTTCTATAGTTCAAAAAGTACAAACATGATATGAATTTTGATCTCAGATTAATAAAGTAAATAACTTGAATTAACTTGACACGTATTTCAGGATTTCACTCGCCGACTAATTTGAGTTTAACATTATGTCTATGTTGAAAATGTCAATATTTTATGCTTTTTGTCATTGGCTTCGATATGAGAGGTCAACCATATTGTCCATATCATAACAAAAACTCCCGCAGTTGACAATTAATTTGATATATTATTTGAATTTTTAAACCGAATATTTTTCGAAATATTCAAGTTTACTTTTGTTAGGTCCATTTTTGTACACACTGTACAGTATTATTATCAAAGTATGTCGTTAATACAATTTTATTTATTACCTTAAAGGTTGTGACACAGGCTTTGGCCACAGACTGGCGCTGCGTCTCAATGAACGCGGGTTTCGAGTCTACGCGACCGTCATATCCGAGTCCAGTGCCGGCGCACAGCAGTTGACCTCTAAGGCACAGTTTGCACATAAAATGCATGTCATAGGCATGAATGTGACCAAACATGAGCAAGTTCAAAAGGCATACGATTACGTAACACTGCACTTGAATAAAAAAGGCCATGGTGATTGCCTGTGGGCGCTGGTCAACAACGCCGGCGTTATGTCTGAGGGCCCCATCGAGTGGGGATCACCCGAACAGTACGAACTGATGTTTGACGTAAATATGTTTGGGCCGATACGAGTGACCCGTACTTTTCTACCCCTTATCAGAGCATCAAAAGGTAAATTCAATTGAAAAAATGTAATGTAACCTTAATCTCATTACCATGAACCGGCACTGAATGTTCCTGGGAACATTTATTGCATTATAATTTATGCTACTAAATACTTGCATACTTGGTGATTCATATATAGTATGTTACTAATATTAATGGGGGCTTAACTATATTTATATATAATAAACTTAATGAATATAGAAATTTACAAAGGGCAGTCGATAATTAAAAAAGCGTAATGTTTATCATGATTAATGAACGAGAAAGCATAAATGTCAGACAAAATTCACGTCTAATTATTTTTAAACTGTGCCGGTTCCTGGCTTAGACTATTAATTTATTAAAACTATTAATTAATCTTGGTAATAAAGGTCGCGTTGTAAACATGGTGAGCATACAGGGTCGATTCTCAGTCAGCCCATTCGTCTGGTACGCGATGTCTAAACACGCGTTGACCGCCTTCTCGGACACATTACGCCGGGAAATGCGGTCATTTGGTGTCCGTGTGGTGACTGTAGAGCCGGCGGCCTTTCGTACCGGTATTATTGACGACGACACCAGGTTTGCCGCCCTGTGTCGCACGTGGCGACAGACAGATACCGAGATTCAAAACGCTTACGGTAATAACAGCGAGAATGAATTGAGAGATATCGTAGCTGGAAGTTCGCAAAAGTTTAAACTAGGTACTAATCTAGATATCGTGGTGAATGATATGATCGACGCCGTTCAAAATGCCACGCCTCGAGTGAGGTATACGCCCACTGAGGGTGCTTTGGCTAAATTATTAGTTTCAATTGCCATGTGCATTCCATCTGAATGGCTAGATGAATTAGTTTGGTTGACTGATAAATCTAAATAAACACAATACATTTCAGAATAACTATATTTTTAAAAATGTTTGCTTTATAAATGTTGTTACTATTTAAATGTCATGTATATCATTCGTAATCAAATAAAACATAATTATTTATTATAAGCTATTGTTTATTATAAGCAATTGTTGTTAATTTGTATTAAGTTGTTAATTTATATTAATGTTATAGCTCAGTGACCTTCGGTATTTATAAACTTATAAAATTTTATATAATCTGTGTTTAACTAATACATTCTAATTATATATGTTGAACAATAATGATAACTTAAAATTTAGTGTTAAATATCATTTATAAAATGTGTATAGTTATGTAATCATTTTTGCCTTAACAACTTTTAAACATTTAACACCGCCTCAACATATAATGAATGCTGATTTAACTAATTCAAAATTATTTTTCTTTAATTATTAAATTCATTAGAAATATAGTGACATATAATACAGATTTTTTTTTACAAAATTCATTGATGCACTAAATTGTTCAACTGAACATAAATAGTTGGTATACTGTATTATTATAATTTATTTTCACGAATTAATAAAGTATAATGTGTATAAACCGTGTGCATCGCAACAATTTTATATTACAATTATAGTAATAATTAAGTTTATTATTCAATAATTAACAATAATGTTTGTCGCAAAAGTGATCGCATTGATTTTTGTCGCCCATGGAAAACACATGGAAATCATCGGATTTTGAGTCAAAATTATGTCACATAAAGTGTTTAGTCTTAATTAATGTTTTTAAACAAAAATGCAATTGAGCAAATAAAATGATTATTAAGAGTTTTCAATTTGATATTTAATTTAATTGAAAATTTTTATTTGTTATATTGAACACATATATTTGCTCATAATAATAAGGTTTGCCAGTTTTACTAGCCGTATACAAAGGCTGGTAATTGTAGATAAACATGCTACTTTCGTGTTGCTGAGTTTTTGGTGGTGTCCATACTTTGCGGCATTCATTAACAAAAAAGTCTGCCAAATACTGACCGACAAGTACTGCGCTTGTCGTATGGGGTATGCGTTTGTGTGCGTCAAACTCGTAGGCATTTTTCTCCGGATGCCATTGAACACCATATATGGGTCGCTCGGGGCTCAGGGACTCCCACGTGGACACAAACTCCACACCCTTTGGGTCGGTATTTGTGGACAGTATTTTAAATGCAGATTTCAGCTCGGGCGATGAATTATATTCGTCCATGGTCAGACACATAGAATGATGGTTATATGTTACCGGTTCATTTTTTAGTATCTATAATATTGACAAAACTATTTATTTTAAAATAATATAATATACCGAGACCGGCATTGTAAGTACTTACAAATTGCTTGCAATACACCAAGTACAGTTAACTCTCAGTATATAATCAATAAGTGTGTCTCATATAAAATGTAAATTTTATTAAGTGTATAATAAAGTATAATAACTGAGTCATATGATAATAAAGAGAACAAAAGTGATGGTGTTATTCAATCGGGTAATAAGATGAGAAACGCTTATTGATTATATACTGAGAGTTAACTGTACTTGGTGTATTGCAAGC